CATGCCCAAAGAAATGAGCCAGATACAAAAGGCCACATATTGTATGACTCCCCTTATATAAAATGTCCAGAATAGGCAAATCCTTAGAGACTGAAAGTAGATTACTGGTTTCCAGGGGCTAAGGGGAGGGGTTCATCTGGAGTGAGTCTACAGTATGGAACTCCTTTTTGGCATAAAGAAAATGTTCTGGAATTAGTGGTGATGGTTACACAACTATGTGAATATACTCAAAACCACTGTCTGTATACTTCAAAATGGTGAATTTTATGGTATGTGAATTATATCTCTATCAAAAACAATTTTTTTAAAATGTAGGAAAACACATACCAGGCAAATATTAAGCTAAATAAAGCTAATAGGTATATTAGCTAGTAGGTATATTAATATGAGAAAAAAGATTGATTATAGGGCAAAAACATCAATGATACCAAATTACCAGGTATTACCAGAGTTAATAATTTCCTTACATGGTGATAAAATATTCAATTCACAAGGATGATATAGCAATTCTAAATCTGTTTGTAACTACGAACTTTCAAGATTGACAGAAATACAAGGAGACATTAACAAATTTTCCATATCAACAGGCAGCCAAAACCCCAGAAGAATATAGAACATTTGAGCCAGATTAACAAACACAACTTAATCGAGGTACATAGTACACTAAACACAACTGTAAAATGCACATTCTTTTCAAGTGCTCATGGAACATTTACCAGAATTTTCCATAAGTTGGTCCAAAAAGCAAGTATCAACAGACTTCAAAGAACTAAAATAATACAAAGTTTGTTCTCTGACTAGAATGGAATTAAAATGGAAATGACAAGAGCACTGATCTATCAAAACAGAAGCTGGTCCAAGGGCTGGCACCAAGTACTGGAGACCTCCTGCTGTGGTAGGCATTAATCCTTTAGTTGCTAGATGATAATCAGTAGGTCCTGGCTGTCCTGGGAAAGGAATTGAGGTAGCCAGGGTAGCTGGGTAAGTGTTAGAGAGACTAAAAAAGCCTGGGACAGTGCCTATTTATAAAATGGACTAGAAATATTTTGAAAATTCATATGGCCATATGGTTGTGAATCTGTGGAATATCAGCCCTGTTTAGTAGGCCAATTATAGCATTGGATACTTAAATTAGAAAAGAAGAAAGTCTAAAAATGAATCAGCTGAGCAGCACGCAACCCTACTAGTTAAAAAAGAGCAACAGAATGAATCCAAAGAAAGTAGAAGAAACAGAATAATGATGAAAAACTAGTTAAATAGAAAATAAAGATAACAGGATCAAAAGGTCAAAAGTTGATTATTTTAGAATTATAAAAGTGTCAAACTTATAGCAAGATTGATCGAGAAGAAAAGAAGGTGCAAATAAACAATATAACAAAAGAGAAGCTATAACTACAAATGCAACAGAGATTTTAAAAAGATTCAAAGATAAGAACTTCACACAAAATAAATTTGAAAACTGATGTGAAGTAGAAAAATTCCTAGAAAACCATGACTTAGGAAAGCTTAAGAAAGCTGACTTTAGTGGAAATAGCAAACTGAAAGGATTCTATAACTGATAAAAGAGATTGTATCCATTAAAATATTAAAGGAGACACCAGGTCCAAATGGTTTCACCTGGAAATGCTGCCAGGTAAAATATTTGAGGAATGGCTAGTTCTGCAGACAACCTCTGTCAGAGGACAGAATGAAAGGAAATAGTTCCTACCTGATTTTATGAGGTTACTATAATCTTGACACTCTTGGAAAAATTACAGGCCAATCTCTTTCCTGAGTAAAATGCTAAAATCCTAAACAAAATATTAGTGAAAGAAATTCAGAAGTTTTTATTTATCCCAGGACTGCAAGATTATTTCAACACAAGAAAAACTCTAATGTAATGTACCACATTAATGGGTTAAAATGGAAAATTAATGTCATTTCATTGAATACAGAAAACATGTTTAATAAAATTCAACATTCACTCATGCTTTAAAAATTGTATTGGCAAACTCAGAATACACAGGAACCTCTTTAACCTATTAAATGATATCTACCAAAAAAACTACAGCAAATTTACTCAATGGTGAAACTTAAAATCGGGATCAGCATAAGAATACACACTATTAACATTTCTTTTCAACATGTACTGCACATCTCGTGTGTGTGTATTAAAGGTGGGAGGTCTTAGCAGTGTAATAATATAAGAAAAAGATAAAAATAAGGATTGTGGGGAAAATGAAAGCTATCATTTACATACAAATTATCAAAACTCATAAGAAAGTTTAGCAGGTTTGCTAGTTACAAATTCATTACATGAAAAACAAGTACAGTTGTATACATTAGCAACATACTGCTATAAAATTTAATTTTCTAAAAAGGTACTATTTAACATAGCAACAAAAAATAAGTCAAAAAAATCTTACAATGGCACGCAAGCCTTTTATGGATTAAATTATAAAACTTCACTCAACATGAAAAAGTCTGAATATATGGAGTGATATACCATGTTTAGGGAAGACTCAACATCACAAAGATGGCAACTCTCCTCAAATTGATTAGATTTACAGATTGAATGTAATTTCCATCAAAATCCCAAAAGTTCTCTCTCTCTCTCTCTCGTGTGTGTGTCTGTGTGTGTGTGCGTGCGTGTGTGTGTGTGTGTGTGTGTTTACCTTGGAAAGCTGATTCTAAAATTTATGGAGAAGAACACTGGGCCAAGAATAGCCAAGACACTCCATAAGAAGGACAAGATGGAGGGACTTGCTCTACCAGGATAAAGGTACAAGAATGCCCATTGGATTATTGTTCATAATCAAAAATTAGAAACTACTCAAATGCTCAACAATAGTAAGATGGATAAATAAACTGTGGGATATTCACAAGGGGAATAAACAAACTACAACTGCTTGCAACAATAACATGGGTGGTTCACATAAACATAATGTTGGATGAGAAAAGAATAGGCACAGCTGTTCAAGTACTTTACATGTTAATGTATTTAATCTTCAGAATAACATTAAGTGACTGTGTGTCTTCTAGAGAGGATGCTCCAAGAAAAAGGTGATTCAGACCTTACAGGGACAAATAGACTGGCCTCCCTAGCCAGAGGTGAACCAGACATTGCCCAGACTTGGCAACCACTATCTAAGTTTTTTTGCATCTATGGTCTGATAAAATTTAGTCAGATATTAATGAGTGACTGTCTTGTGCACACAGAGCCCCATTTTTGGCTATGGCGAGTGGTAGAGTGGAAGTAGCACAGAGTGACCATTTACTGAGTGACCATTTACATCTACTATGTGCCAGGATCAGGGCCTGATGTTGAGGATATGATGGTAAATAAGACCACACACCCACTTTCTTGTTTAAACAACAAGAACAATAAGAATTAGGATAACTAACAATTACTGAGTGTGTACTATGTGCTGGACACTCTTCTAAGCATGTCATAGGCTTCAGCTCATCTAATCTTCACAACTACACTGTTATTAACTTCCTTTTACAGGTGAGGAAACAGAGAAGCCCAGAGAGGTTAAAAGAGTTGTCCAAGCTCACAGACACAGGGGGAGACAGAGCTGAGACTCAAACCTAAGCAGTCTGGATCCAGAACCTCTGAATCAGTGAATTACTCCCAATAACACTGGGTCATAGGCATTGATTCTGTTTTATAGCTGAGGGAAGTGACGCTCCAAACTAAAGTGAGCACGTATTTATTTTTCATCTTCTATTTGATAGAGACTATATTAGATGATTTATGTATATTATCTCTCCAACTTGAAAGACACAGTTCCCAGGACTATAAGCATTCTAGCTCTGGAGGACCCGTGTATGCAGAGAATGGCTTGCTTGTCAACTAAACAGCCCCTTGGAAAAGGCCAAGAGTGGCTGGCTGGGTGAGGGTACCTCTCAGTCTCCAGGCTCCTAGATCTCCAGTTGAGTGAGTGTGAGAGCTGGTGGAGATAAGAAAGAGAGAGAACAGGAGCCTAGTCTTTTTTGTCTCTCTTCCTCCACCCACACCCTACATCCGGTATATTATAACTATATTTAACATTCTATATGCTCCTGGATCCTCTAAGCAACTACTGCTACCCCCAATATCTCTGAGCCTGGGCCTCCTCTAGCATTAGCAGAGTGGAAACTTGGTTAGCTGGCCTTTGGGGTGTCTGAGTCCCACAGTCTACAGCTGCCTTATCTTAACCCACCTTATGGCCATTCAGGCCACAATCCCTGGGCTGGATGCACCTTGGTCCACCACTGTCGCCTGTTATCTATGGGAAATGGTATACTCGTTTCTTTTTAAATACGTACAGGTTTTGTTTACTTTTCTTTTGCCCTTGATCTTTCTTAAATTTCCAAAGTGAGCACCACACCAGTGGGCTGGCCCTGAAAGACTGTCTCTCTCAAATTCCCAGAGCAGCAAGGAGGTCCATATGTGCCAGAGAGCTAACACTGGAGACAGGACATGAAGTGTTTCCCAACCTAGGCAGGTACAGACTCAGAAAAGGCCTGAGAAAGGAGAGGAGCAATACTGACCAGTGACATGGCACTGTTGTGTACGCAGCACCTGTCCCCTGAGAGATGATGCCAGGAGCCATCAACTTATTTCACCCAGGCACTATCAGTCAGACAAGACCAACTCCCAGACACTTCACAGAAGTCACCAAAATGAAACATACTAGGCTATAACTGAACAGTCCTGAACTAGAAATCTTAAATTCTAAACAAGAAACATTCCAAACAAGCTCTGCCTAAGAAATGAAAAGTTCCTAAAGATCCCTCTGATTAAGATGGTCTTAACCTAATCCTCCTTCTCTGTCTTCATCTCTTTCTTTCCGGTTGTCTTCTCTCTCATTCTTTCCTCGCCTTTTTGACACTAGCCTCTATTTCATCCAGTTGTTCATCTACTCCAACTTTTAGGTTGAGGTGGGAGTGTATGTTAAGGGGAGGTGCATCCTTTGCTCTTCTACACCCACTCTACCACCACCACCTTGAAACCCACGGAAGTAAACCCCACTTACAGCCCCTTCTCCGATGCAGCCTGCTGCTGCCGCTGCTGTGTGGAATCCAGATCTTCTGCAACCTGGTTTGGGTGAGCTCTCCCATCTCTGGAGACATCTTAGGAGTCGCAGCTAATGACATCACTGCCCACAAGGTACCCGGCCTCACTTCCTATCTTACTAGCTGTCTTTTCCCTCACTGTGGTCACAGCAGCAGGTGGACAGAGCTGGGACGGGGGGTGCACTGGGTTTCTAAGCCCTCTCAGAGTCTGTCTTCAGTCCCCTCTCCTCTTTCCTCTGGTCCTAGCCTGCCTCTGTTCCTGTATGTACTAGGGGTATTGGGTGCAGAGAGCAAGAGGTTGGGCAGAGGTCAGGAGAGGCCTCTGAACTCCAAGGGCTGTGTACATAGGAGGTAAGTTGGAGCCCAACAAGGAAGGCAGCCAGCAACACAGTCCAGGTCTGACCAGTCACTTCCCTCCAATGAAGACAAGACTAATAGAGTATGCAAATAAAAGACCAAAGATCATGTGCTTACAGCCTGTGTGGGGTAGAGAGGCAAAGGTGATGGAGGTAGGTCTCAGCGGCTTTTCCAGCTTTGAAATTAAAAAATGGACCTAAGTAGAATGTCAAGCTCCAACCCAGAAATCAAGATTTACATCAGAAATGCAAGGTTCCCAAGGACAAAAACACAAACACAAAGTCCCTACTGGGGAATGCAGTGTTTTGAGCTGGCAATTAGAGGCCCAAACTGGACATGGAAGGTCCATTACTTCTCTGCTTCTCCGACCCAAAATGGCCTTGCATCCCTTGTCTTCTCTGGATTCTGCTGCCTTCCTTGCCACAGGGCCTCTCCCACCTGAAATGTGCTGCCTGGGGCACTCTTGAAGAGATGGGCACTATTTGATCATCTTTCTACTCTCTCCAGCCAAGGGCTAAATAAATAGGAGTAAACTGACACCTTTGGAAGAGTGCAGCCATTGCCTGGGGCTGGAGGTGGGGGAATGGTAAGCTCTGCCCACATGGCTGTTAGCCACCGTCAGATCCCCTAAGGAGAATGACATTGGCATCATGAACTGATAGAAAATTTCACTAAAGTTCCTCATGCCAAGCCATTAGGATGGAGATTTAAGAGGGTGGAGGCTGCAGCAGGGAGCAAAGAGCAATGGCCTCAAAGTAGGACAAGTCCATAGGCCAGAGCCATCCAGCCCAGATGACTCACCCTCACCTGCCCCCTCTCTCCCTCCCCTGACACGTTGTTTTGAGGCTTTTATGTGTAGAACTCATAGAACTGCACAGCTTGCCTGGAAGATGCGCAAGTGTGCTCTTACTTCACTCTTCTGCAACCTTCCCACCCCCAGTGAACCTTCAATGATTGGCTACGAGGAAGCTCAACTTTCTTCCACTGAGCTGGGCTACACAAGGGCAATCTCTTGGGGACAGAAATTTCCAATCCCTGCCCTCAAATGCTCTCAGTTCCACTTTGCCTTTTAAGAAGTTCCCTAAAATACATTTGCAAGCCTTAGTCTACACAAGGGTCAGATTTCCTCCAGTTGTTGTGTATAAATCATACCAAACTTTTAATACATTCCAGAGCCCACCTATCTAAATGAATCAACTGAGACAGCAGATTATGACGGTTAAGAGCAATAGGCTCTAGAGCCATATTTCTTGAGTGGAATCCTACCTCTGCCCCTTGTTGGCTATGAGACAATGAGCAGAAGACTAAACTTTTCAGTGCTTCAGTTTTCTTATCTGGAACATGGCAATGATAGGAGTACCTACCCTCCTTAGGATTGTTGAAGATTCAATGTGTTAAAAAATGTAAAGCAATCTGGGAAATGTTAAAAATATATTATCTAACACTGTTACTCCCTTTGGGAGGTAAATGATAAGACACCTCTTTGACTAACCTGAAACTTCTACTGTAATGCTGACCATACAGAAAACCCTCAGTTAAGGAAACTTACAATATTATGGCAAAGGTTTAACATTTATAATATGCAAAGAGCTCCTGCAAATCAATTAGAAGGATGAATTTGGTTTTACTCTTTTGATTTTGTGTAAAGACTTGTGAGATCATTTCATCTCACCCTCTCAGGTAAGAAAACTGAGGTCTAGAAATATTTTTCTAGAAATATCCTAAGGTCATGTAGCAAATCAGTGGCCAAGTCAGGAATAGAACACTAGGGACCTAATTTCTCCCAGGCCAGGGCTTTTCTTTAATTAATCAAACACGCCTGATCTAAGAATGTGGTCTTACAGGTCAGCTCAGAACCTCTAGAGTCTCAGAACTAGGCTTTGTAAGAGATACAACTCTTTTAATTCTAATAAATTTCCTAACTGGTATAAATCTGTTAATATTAATAATCTTAATTATAACCCTTTCCCTGTATGTTTTCCATTGCCCACAAAGCAACAACATATTCCTTATCTCATTTGATCCTTACAAACATCCTTGTTAGCCTTACAGGGAAACTGAGGTCTGGGGAGGGGAAGTGGCATGTTCAAGGTAATCTAGCTGGTCACATGAACGTCTCTTCTATGTTTACAATTTTGTCCCCATGACCCTGCCAACAGGCAGAAGGACAATTTTAGCAGCAGGAAATCTGAGATAGGAAGCTGGCAGGCTTTTGACAAAGTCTGAAAGGGTAAACCTGGGGTCCAGGCTCTAAAACCTAACTTAAACTTGCCTGGAATTAGCTATGAGATTCCTCACTGTTACCAATTCTGATCCCAGAAGCAGGAGACCAAAACAAGCTTTATGGAAAGACCTCAGCTTGGCACTCAAGACTTCCCAATCAAGCTTCAGTCTACCTGTCCAGCCATGTCTCTCCTTAGATCTCCATCCTTAAACTTCACTGGCTGACTCACTGGGCCCCAAAATACATGGTGTGTTTTCTTGTTTCTTGGCTTTTGCTCAGCCTGAAATGCCATTTTTTCTCCTTCTATTCCCAACACATTCTGACCCACTTTTCAAGGTCTGGTTTGATGTTCACTTCCTTTGGGAAGTGACCCCTGTATCCTTGGGACAGGACTTGTCTTTGGTTCTTATATTGCCCACCTGCTCCTATCTGAGCAAGTATCCACCAGTATTTTCCTGGTCTGCTTCCCCACTAGACTGTGAACTCCTTGAGGATGGAGACTAGATCTCAGTGATCTGTAATTTGTGTTTCCAGTGTCAAATTCAGGCCCTGGCACAGAGGACAGAGGAGACACTTGCTTATTGTGTTTGTGCAGTCTACATCTCTCTGCCCTAGATGAGATGAACTTGTGGACAACTAATCCTAGTTCAACAAGGTAAATATTATAACAGAGAGCTGTGCAGGGAATTGGAGGGGAGAACTAACTTGTCTGAGGTAGGAGGTGGCATCTAGAAAGGTTTCTCTACCTTGAATGGGACAGAAACAGATAAACACAAGAATTAAGTCCTCTCTGAAAAGGGCCAGTGAACTCGTGGCAGAGAAAGGGTTCAGTCAGTACCAGATTCTCATTCAAGACCAAGCTCTGACCTGCAGCTCTTGGTCTAAAATTCTAAAATGGGGCTATCTCTAGGGAAGAAAAGATTACAATGTGATTTCCCAAGGCCCCCAGATCCTGACCCTGTACCCCTCCCAAAGTATAGGGCATGTGTATGGGGGGAGAATCCTATGTAAAGAAGCATATGACAGTGCTGATGGATAATAAAGTCATGAATGGGGTCTCCCTATTGGTAGCTCTCAGACTGTTTGGGTATGAATGCATTTGTGGAGAATGAAGGCGTGGGGGGAGATCGACCACACACTTACAAGCTAGGTGCATGTATATGAGTGTCAGGCCTTCTGTGACAGGAGTCTATGATCCGCTTCCTTCTCAGCCACTGTCCTGGCCCACCATCTCTCCACTATTTTCAGCCTCATGCCTGGGCCCCAAACCTCACTGAATCCTAGTCCTGGAAGCGGCTCTCCACAGACCATAGTCGCACAGGGAGAAGAGCAGCTGGAGGGTTTTGGGTGGGATTGCTTGTGGAGCCTATATAAAAAAGCAAGATCACTACTCTTAGAGCGAGGAAGTCCCGAAATGTCTCCAAAGAGCTTTGGTTTCTGCCTTTCCACCCTTCTTGATCGTGACAGCCCTCTGAGGAACATTGGCTAGAGACTCTGATTTCCATTTTACTGAGGAGGCTACTGATGCCCAGAGAAGCTAGAGAGTTTGTTCAAAGCGCCACAGCAAATCAACCCTACTTTACACATCAGTGGGGAGGTAAGAGCTATAATCTCAATCACTCAGTTCATTCAAAACCAGACCAGAACAAGTTAGAGAGACTTTCACAGGTGCTAGGGAATTGCCCTGGGGGCCAGGGTCCCACAAAGGCCAGAATGGATTTTTAAAAATATACAGATATATAAATAGGTTACATATAATCTTTTCCCCCACTTTCCCATGCCCTTTAATGCACACGTCAACCAACCATCTACGCAAAGAAAACTTTCCAGAGGGCCTGAAGAATGGATGTGGATTTGTGTAACTCCTGCCTACGTTCCCTTCTTTCTCACCTACCTTTTATTCTAGAGGTTTTTTCTTCCATTGCTAATTATCCAACACTCGGTTGTCTCGCATTTACAGACCCCTAAGGCAGGTCCAGTGGGTGGCATCAAAGAGGAAGCCTGGAGGTGTTCGTTGGTTCCCTGAGAAGGCTGAGGATGTACCCTTGTTAAGTGGGGGGAGTGTATGTGCTCTGTTGAAATATCAGCTGTTGTAGTTGCCAAAGAAGTTACTGAGCCACCCGAAGCCTTTTCTCTTCAGTCCAACCATGTGTTCACCTTGCCCCAAAGGTCAGAACTAATATTAACAAGCCATTGCAGAATAGGGAAATTAAAACCAGCTATGGAGACAGGCAAGTTCTGGATTTTGCTGGGGCTGAGTTTCAGATTGGTCTTCAGTGTAAATGGGCATAATCTCTTACTGGAAAGCAATCTGACAATATGAAGCAAGAGCAATAAAAATGTTCATTTCCTTTGTCCTAGTTGTCACGTTCATGGGAGTCAATCCTGAGTCAACAACCCCCAAAGCATGAAAAAGCTTAGGACACACAAATTTTATTTTAATCACAGAGCTATTTTCTGATAGCAACAACTGGTAAATTTAAGTCCTCCAGGAGGAAAAGCAGTTTACTGCGTCTTTGCTGTAACCATTGAGGACGATGGCTCTAACGCTTAAATTCTGGGGAAAAAATAATTATGCTGCAATTCTGGGTGAGGAACCTAAAGATGCATCGTTATGCTTTTCCCTGGACATTGGGCATATCCATTACTTCTATTTTTTGTGCTCTCAAAAACAAGCCATGAACCTGTTGATGCTCTTGCTATTATTCTTTGTTCATTCATTCACCTGACAAATATCTATTGCTTCCCAATATATACTGTGTCCAGTATTAGGGGATGGGCTAACAAGATGAACCAGGCATGGTCATTGTTCTCAAGCTGCTGGCAGTCTAGTGGCAGCAGAAATAGAAGTCAATGACAGCTGTGTATTATAAGTACTGTGACAGAATGGACCGTAGGGTGCCGTGGGGCCCCAGAGGAAAAGACTTAACTGGGGTGGTGTGTGGTCAGTAAAAACACTCAGAAAAGTAATCCTTGAGCTAATTAACATAAGGTTTGAATCCTGGCTCTACTACTTCAGTGTAAGAGAGACTGAACTGTGAGAATGAAGTGAATTCACTCGACGTCTCTAACTTAGACTCAATGCCCCAAACAGGGCTGTCCTGAGAATTAAATGCGATAACATATACAGAAGAGCCATGGATGCATCCGGAGACAGTGCTGCTCACGAGCTTACATTTCCTGGGCCTCGATTTCACTTATCTGAGAAACAGAACCAAGAGTAAGGATGTGCCCGGCTACATCCTTCGGAATGTTAAGAGCCAAGACAAATAAAAGCTACAGGGCAGGCTTGAGACAGCCTCCTCCTCCTCCCCTCTGCCCCAATAAAGCCAAAGGCCCTCCTCCTAAGTCTTATCTCAGTGGAGCGACTCTTACTGCTCCCTCCTCCAACCACTAACCTCCCTTTGCCCCGTCCAACGCGATCACTTAGCGCCAGCTACTCCTGGGGCGCAAGCGCGGCAGCCATCTGTGCACTTAGGTGGGCGGTCCGTCGCACTGAGGGCGGGGCTTTGGCTGCTGAGCAGTTCCGCTCAGGGTCTTCTACAAAGTGGCAAAATCCCATTTGTAAGTAACCGGACGCACCACGTGGACTTCTGAGTAGAGGAAAAACGTACTGAGACTCAGGTGTCCGAGCGGAAGGCGCGGGAGCCCAACTGGAAACTCCTCTCGCCATTCATTGCCCCTAGGCTTCCGCTCTGCTTCTTTCAGCGTCCACCCAGTTCTTCCTCCCGCCAATGAGAACTGAGGAAGTTGAAGCCCCCGCCCGACGTGCGTCAGGCGCTTTTGTGGTACGCACGAGAGCGCCTGCGCAAACGCGCGCGGGAGGCGGGCCTGGCCAACTTCGGAACAGCGAGCTGTTCGCTCGCGCCTAGTTTGGCGCGGGCTGGGAGGTGTTCCAGCCCGTTAAGATGTTGCGCGTGGTGAGCTGGAACATCAATGGGATTCGGAGACCCGTGCAAGGGGTGGCAAATCAGGAACCCAGCAACTGTGCCGCCGTGGCCGTGGGGCGCATTTTGGACGAGCTGGATGCCGATATCGTCTGTCTCCAGGAAACCAAAGTGACCAGTGAGCGCTCTGGATTCCAGGATCCCTGCATACTTTTTCTTTCCCGCTAACTTTTGCCCCCTGTCCCATGTAATTTTACTTTCCCAGTTTCCTGTTCTTAAGAGTCCTGCCCTTAGACCCAGGTCTCTTCCCTCTTAAACTCCCATTTCCCACCCTAGCTAGATCCCCAGTTGCACTCCATTTCCTGTCTTCAGCAAACTAGCTCCTTCTCGAAACCCCATATCTAGTCAGATTCCCACTCATTCTCTGGCCCCAAACTCAGTCCCCTGAATTTCCTCCTTCCATACGCTGTCCATCTCCCCGCCACCAAGTCAAACCTCCGAATTCTTCATCCTTGCCCCAAGCTCAGATCCTCTAATTCCCACCCCACCTTTGACCCCAGCTCAGTCTTTCTAATTGCCTCCTTTTCACACCTCCACCTCAGAACCCCGTACCCCTTATCTATCCCCATCTCTCCTCCCAGCTGAAAGTCCCCAATTCCCACCTTATTTCCCACCCCAAGCTTAGATGTCCTCTTATTTCTTCACCCTTCTATCTCCCCTCAGAATCCCCTAATTCCTTTTCCTTCCATCCCCAGTTCAGATCCCCTAATTCCCTCTCTCTTACCTCTTACACTTAGCTCAGATTTCCACTGTCCTCTCATATGTCCATCCCCACCCCCAGCTCCCTCCCATCGTCCAGACCCCCAGGCTTAGCTCTGATTCTTTCCCTCTCCCACCTAATTCTCCACCTCCACTTCATAGTCTCTAACCACCCCCGCCAGCCTTCTAATTCTGATATCAATTTCCTCTCTGACATTTCCCATCTTTCTAGGTCTTCCTCTACTCATAGATACTTCATTCCCGTCACCCCCAACTCCGGCTCTGATGTGTGCAAGGAATTAGCCTACAACTGTAATTCCAGGCCTTTGTGTTTCCCGGATGCTAGTTTTACCTCTGACTTAATCTTACATTTTTTTTTTTTTCCCTAGGGGATGCACTGACAGAGCCCCTGGCTATCGTTGAGGGTTATAACTCCTATTTCAGCTTCAGCCGCAACCGTAGCGGCTATTCTGGTAATGGGGCTTTCTGTGGACTTTAAATTAGTGATGGAGGCAGATGAGGAAAAGGGTTTCCAATATTTGATGAGAGGGCAATAAGAAATTTAGACATTTAGTTTACAGAGCTAAAGCTGCATAATAGTAAATTACATGAAATATAATTTTTATGGATAGAATTATCCTACTGGACCTCAGAAATACAGTAGTAGTGTGGTGCTTAATTGTGTGAACTGTGGAGCCAGAAGCCCAGGGTTTGAATTGTGGCTCATTTCCTAACTGTGCACCCTCTGGCAAGTTACATTACCTCTTGGTGCCTCAGGTTCCTCAGCTAGAAAATGAGGATAATGTTTACCTTCTAGGGCTGTTACGAGGATTAAATGAATTAATCCATGTGATAGTAATAATTGCTAATACTTCTGGAGCACTCACCATGTATCAATGTAAAACACTTAGAACATTCTGTGGCTTTTCTAGACGCAGGAACTGAGACTCCAGGGTTTGAATAAGGTTCCCCAAGAACCACACTTTATGAAGATGACTTAGGTGACTTGTGTGGGGACAATTGGAGTGGGACAGGCTGTGCAACAGGCTATTGACTGCCAGGTCTGCTCAGAGTACCCTGTCTGTTCCCAGGTGTAGCCACGTTCTGTAAGGACAACGCTACCCCAGTGGCTGCTGAAGAAGGCCTGAGTGGCCTGTTTGCCATCCAGAATGGGAATGTTGGTTGCTATGGAAACATGGATGAGTTTACCCAAGAGGAACTCCGGGCTCTGGATAGTGAGGGCCGGGCCCTCCTCACACAGCATAAGATCCGGTAATAGCTCATATCTCCCTGCTACTGAGCACTGCTGGTGCTACTCTTTGAGTGTGAAGATTCTAAGGCTTGCCCTGTAAACACACATGCACCGTGGTGAAGTTCCCAAATTTGCCTTTCCTGATTTAGTCCTGGCTGGGCTGCTCAGTGTGACCCTGGCAAATTTTTCCCCCTCTGAGGCTTGAGTTTCCATCTCTACAGTGCGGGGCTGGCCTGGTGATCCAGCCCTTATTACCATAGACATCTCAAAAGCAACTTATTGCTGAATTCACTGCCCCAGGTTTCTCTCTTTCTGGGTGTTCTCTTTGTGAATAGCAGCGCCATTACCTGGTGGTCATCCTTAGATGTCCGTCTCCCTGCCTTACCAGTAGTCAGTCCCCAAGTCCTGTGCATGCCAGCTCATTTGTGTCTCTTTAACCCCTTTCTTTTCCATCCCAGACAGTCACCAAATGGAAGCCATGTGGTATGGGGAAGGGACAGAAGGGGAGGTTTGAAACTGACCCCTTTTGAAGGTTTCTCTTTTCTCCAGCACGTGGGAAGGGAAGGAGAGGATCTTGACCCTAATCAACGTGTACTGCCCCCATGCGGACCCTGGGAGGCCTGAGCGGCTAGTCTTTAAGATGCGCTTCTATCGTTTGCTGCAAATCCGAGCAGAAGCCCTCCTGGCGGCAGGCAGGTACTGCAAGCCTAGGCAGCAAGGCTTCCTTGAGTCGGTCGTGGGTGCCCAGCCCTGTGTTAAGCTCCATTGAAAGGGATATGGAACCTTTCCAAAGAACTCAGAGACAAAGGGATATTGTTTCTACCCCACAGAATAGTTTTAAGGGTGAAATGAGATGAGAATGGTAAAGTTCCTGGAAGCAAAGGAAAGTCTTGTTCCAGGGAAGGACAGGAAAGTGAGGGTGGGTTAGAGCAATCAAGGGGAGGTGGTATTTGAGCTCACCTCCCCTTGATTGAAGGACAAGAAAAATGCCCATTAGGTACTGATCAGTGAGGCAGTCATGTCAAACATGGAGCACTGTCACCTTTGGAGATCAGAATTGGGTTGGTCGGATATGAAAGGCAGCAAGGTTGTGGTAAGATTGGAGAGGTAGGCTGCTATGAGTTGCTGTTGGCTAGGAAGCCTCAATATGGGAGGTGGCCTGTCTGAGCTCTTGGGCCCAGGAAAAAGTATACGAGCCAGGACTGCTGCACCCCTTTCTAACAATCCCATATTGTGTTTTTCAGCCATGTGATCATTCTGGGTGACCTGAATACAGCCCATCGCCCCATTGACCACTGGGACGCAGTCAACCTGGTAAGGCTACCTCTAGGTGCCTGGCCCCACTTGACTGATTCTGTTTGTCCAGCCAACCAATGCTGAGTTTTTGGCCCAGGGACAGCTTCCTTTATGGGAAAGTGGAGCTTGGTTTGCAATACTATTCTTATAGTACTGAGGATTGGTCATTCATTCAATAGACAATACTGACTCTGCCACATACTGAGGACTCAGGAGTCAGATCCAACTCTTGGCTCCTAGGAGCTCTCCAGCATGGTGGTGGGCTACAGACACATGGCTGGCCAATTATAGGATGGTATTCTCAGAGCAGAGACACAGATGGCATCCCAGAAGGCTACGGAAACTCAGAGATGGGAGTCCTAGGTGAGCTCAGACATCAGGACAGGCAGCTGAAAATGGCTGAATCTTAACAGACAAGTAGAACAGCTTTGAAGTAGTGAAGCATTTTAGCATGGGCAAAGGTTTCAAGGTGAGAATTTGCATTGTGTGCATGGGGAACCACAAGTCCCTTTCTTCTCAGTGACACGAGAAGGGAGGTGAGTGGCAGAAGGTAGGGCTGAAGAGTTGTTGGGGTCAGATGTTTTCAAGGACTGTGAATTCCACATTGCCTTGGTCATTTCCTTAATACACTGTGTTTCTTGTTTATGAACTTTCAATACCTCCTGGTTACCTCTGTGATGCAGAGAGAACATCGAGACCTAGCATTCAAGGCTCTCCATGGACTGCGACCTGTCTCTATTTCCACCTTCAGTGTCCCTACACATTTTGTCCTCTCTATCCTCTCTAGACAGGTTGTCTCCTGTCGGCCTGTTGTAAAAGTTATTCTCATTCTGGCTTTTTTCACTGTGCCCTGAATTGGTGGACATGACCCCCCTCTCTGTCTTTTTGTTATATGAACCTCTTATCTCTAAGTCCCCGTAGGCCCGTGGTTTTCAGCCCCTAACTGCATATTAGAACAAAAATATCAATATCTTAGCACTACTGCAGACTAATGAACTCAGAACTCTTGGGTGTGGGGCCAGGGTAGTGGCACGTTCTAAAAGCCCCCAGTGTGACTTTATCATGCAGCCAGGCTTGAGAACCACTGCCCTAGAATCTACAAGCCAGCTCTCATCTTGGCTTGCCGTATGTCTCATGATGGGGGATCAGTGATTGATGTTGGCACAGTCCCACTCAGC